ACATTAGCCTTCGGTATGCAAAGGCAACGGTGCATGACAGGAATGACGGAGGATCGGCAAAGGAGGAGGGATATTTCCACTTTGGAACTCGGCCAATGGCCGTGTGCTTTGAAATCTTATGTATTGATCTTGCTTAATCTCGCTCACACGCTCTACCTACCCCACGTTGCCCTAATTCATCTACGGCGATTACTTCCCGCGATGCTGCGTTCGGAATCGCTCGTTAAGAACACCGGTATATTGCTAATTAAATTTTGGAATATCATAAAACTAACGATCGTCAAGATTGTGTAATAATATATAAATATAATAAATGATAATAAGGCTGTGTAAGTATAAAACACAATATATGCAAAAGAAGGGCAAAGAACCAGTAATGTAGTAATAAACTTTAATTAAATTAAAATTTAATCATAAATTATAAAACGACAAAACAAATGTTTCGATTCCGCTCGAGTCATTTTCAATGTTGCGATAATATTAAAACATCGCTATAAAAATATCTAGGGTATTACATTCATAACGTGTAGTGCCTTGCTAGTCAGTTATGTCAGAATTCAAAGTAGTCAGAAAAACATTCTTGTCAATATCGGTAAAAGTGTTGAGAATTCATTAATAAAAAAGAGAGAAAACGCAGATAGATGGTAATCCATATCGCACAATGGTTTTTTTTTTAATTTTTGAAGCAAATTTGCAAGAGTAGCATCATTGCGTTATTCGATATTGTGGAAGTCAGATGTTCGCTACACAATATGAAGACTGTAATATTATACTATAGATATTTTTATAGCCATGTTTTAATATTACCGCAACATGGAAAATGACTCGAGCGGAGTCGAAACGTTTGTTTTGTCGTTTTGTAATTTATGATTGAATTTTAATTTAATTAAAGTTTGTTACTACATTACTGGCTCTTTGCCCTTCTCTTGCATATATTAATATATAAATATATTCTTTAAAATAAAATTAAAATGTCATTTCGAGTCTGAAATTAAAATGAATATACACATTTATTGTATATAATTTTAGAAAATAGAATTATACTGTAATTTGAAAAAAAAAGAATATTTTAAATCTTGAAAATTCAGCGTTTTTTTTTTAACTTTTCAAGTACATATTGTACATAATTGAGAATCTTCAATTTTGAGTGTGCACAGAGTTGATAAGAAATCATTTTCATCTTTCCTTCAAACAATCTAAAAGCTTGACATCTTGCTTTTAAAACGGTTTTTTAATAAATCGAATTGCAATTTTTTTCTTCGAGTTATCATGATTTGAAAGAATCACGATGCATTTTTAATTATTTCTATTACCAGAATATTTATTATTTTTGCTGCTGATTTTTTGCAAATTCTTTTTTATTAAAATATAATATAACTATAAATATGTTTTTATTTAATTCAATCATGGTTTAATAAAAATAATGTATAAATATATTATACATTGATATATAGATTTTTTTAATGGCAATAATTTTGTGCAATCAAAAACCGTGCAAGTACATTTTGTTTTGGAGAGATTATTGAGAGAATAGGTGATTTAAATACGACTTCCGTTATCATTAGATCCACAAGTCTCAATTAACGCAATCATTATTCAAGGTAAATTTACACCTTTTTATAAGTGAGGGTTTTCATTATAAAAGTAAAATTACTTGTAATTTTTTAATGATGATTATTTATGAAAGTCACAAAAATCTAAAGCTCCAAATTAAAATCGAAAAAAAAGAACTATCAAAATGAATCAACCATGGCACAACCGCGGTTCTAGCATTAATCCAAGAACAATATTATGTGATGAAACATTGTAATCTGTTTACACCTCAGGGACTAATCTTGAGATTCCCACAATATTTCAATGAATATTCATTGAGCCGTTCCAGATGATAGTCTAGTTGTTCGTCCCGTAAGTGCTGCAGATATCAAAATTCATCACAGTTTAACACAACCCACATCCATATGTATAGAAAAGTATTATTAGACTTTTTAATATAATTATTTTAGGAATATACATTTAAGGAAAGAATTGATATAAAGAATTTTTTTAAATTAGCATCGTTCTTAAAGATTTGGATAATTAAAGGAATTCTATCGCTATTAGTTTTTATCAGATTTGACAAAAGAGTTGTTATTTTTTTGTCAAATAAAATTGTCAACAAACCGAAGCGAAATTTCTGTCGAGGACTTTAATGTCTTCATCTAGAAAAAAATTTCTATTTTTTTTTTTTTTCAAAGAACCTCGTGGTTTTCTAACTTTAATGCAAAGTACAATGGAAAAACAACAAACCTTTTACATCGACGTAATAAAATGCATAAAACTTTATTATTTCCCGAACATAAAAGCAGAGGAGAAGTTTTTCAAAGAACGTTACAAAGTCTTTCTAACTTTGATGCTGTTTTCATTATTGTTACGCTTTGTCACAGTTGAATTGAATTCTGCATAAAATACTAGTTATGAGAGGTTGATAAAATGTTAATAGAGAGCAGCGAGACATACCTGTAATAGAAACGGACGCCACTATGTGAGATACGTTTATTGTCAAAGCGAATTTCTGCGATAAGACAGTTCGGTACAGCAACAGGTTGAAACTTTGTTCGTGGCTTCGTTGGAGGTGACTCGACAAAAAGAAACAATCGATCCATCTTAACAGAAGATTACTCATTGGCATTAATTAACAAGATCAGAAAATTTTTATTGTTCAATAATACTTCTCTCCTTGACGTGAAATATAATACTAAATATTTACAAATATTTGCGATACAGATTTATTTTTGAATTTTTGTTTTAACGGTTTTTATTTTAACGATTGATTGTATTTAAAGGGAAAATGCAATTAAATTATAGTTTTGAATTTCTTATTGGCTAACATCGTTTAATCATTATCATTATTAATCGATACTAATTATTTTAGAAATATAAGAAGACTTAGGATATCTAATTTCTGCTAAAATCATATTTCTATATTTACTCAATGTAACTATAATATAAATTGACAACATTTTTCAGCTCTACTCTCACGAGTTCGCAGTCTGTTAAAAATCAACTCACTGTCAGTTTAATATCTCATAACTCATTCGTATTAGAATCATAGTTCTTTCCTGCGTGTTTCTGATTTAAACAAAAATATATGATTTAATTCCAATTGTCGATAAACATCAATTATCTCTTGTTATATATGCAATTCTCATTGTTATATAACTATGTACGGCTCGTAAGTCTTTTACATTTATTTTAAAATTTATTTGATCAAATATTAGGTACATATTTTTATAATTTTATAATTTCTTGAAAATTTTTTGAGTATTTTACTTATTTAACCGTAGGTTTATAATTATAAATTATTAAATAAAATTTTTATTAATTTAATTATAAATCATTACTATAACATTATTAAAGTTCTTTAATTGATTATTTTTTATAAATTTGTGACTATTTCTGACACAGACAGATTATTGATTTGGTATTGTTTAAGATATTTATTTTAATTTATTACTCTTACTTTGACAAAACTGCACAGTTTCGTCTGATAACAACGGATTGTTTTCTCTTATTATGAGAATGTATATGTGTGATCGAAATTCATTATTATGAGGAAATACATAGAAAAGCGCCTCAACATTACCTATGTAAAGAATATTTTTTAATCATATATGTAATTTGAAATCAATTAAACGCACTATTTATACTCTGATTTTTATGCAACTGATAAAGACTCTGTGAGTACGAAAAATCTTGCGAGCATTGTTCTCGTATACATTTTGTAATTTAATTATACCATCTTAATTCGTTTTTATTAAAAATCTCGTATTTGCTCGTTTATTCGTTTTCCCTTATTGTGTAAATCATTTTGATTTAAGCTATATAAGCTTCATATAATTTTCAATAAAACATCCTTTGAAAGATGTAAATTAAAGTCTACATAATTATTCGTCATTATTCGGTTGACTGAATAGAGACGAATTGTCATGATTAAATTAATTTTCTAAAAATATTCGCGCTGGCATATCTGGCAAAATTAGCAAGCCGACCTGAATTCTTCCTCTGGTAATAATTAGACACGGTTCCGCTTCTAATTGGCAGCTTCTAATTAGAGCTTTGTCTTCCCAAGAGTGTGTTCGATGTACGCTCTATTATAAAATTTTCAACTGGAATTAATTATCTGCACATCGAATGTGATGTAAATGTTGGTAGCGCAAAAATTTCCCTGAAAATATAAAACAGTTACATTATTCGCATAAAATCAAAGTCAGTATCCAAATAAGTACCTTGAACTGATGATCCTGGAGAGACAGTTTTATCCAAATTTTATCGCACTTCGTTCTTATTTGTTTTATTTCCATTTATTGTTCAATTTAAATCATGGAAAGATAAGATGAGATACAAAACTCAAAGCATGCACACGTTTTTTTTCTTTAGTTTCCATCTGTCGCAATACTTGGCAATATGTCGAGCTTTCATTAAGCTCCCTAGGAATCCTTTAGTCGCAACTGAGACGTGATGCGAAGGTCGAATGACGCTCAAGGCTGCGTAGGTCGGAGACTAATTACCAACTAATTTGTTCTCATCCCGAAAGGGGGAAAACATTTCTCCTAGGCCACACGGGCAACATCGTCCGCATTTTCTCCAATAATTGCTCCGGGAAGACAGCCCAAACCACAATCGAATGAATTATTCACTCTGTCGATCGATAGCGTCGAGAATAGAACTTTTTCGACTATTCTGACTCGCGTGCATTTTAGTTTGAGATTTATAAATACATGTCTTATACAACGAGATTATATAATAAGACACTTTAGGTATCTGGAACTTCGTAGGGAAAGCTGAAATTCAAGAACGTTGTTTGTTGTACAAATTTAGCACTAGAGAGGGAATACTGTATATATATTTATAATATATTTAGATTCACTCGTAAACTTGACAAATTTTGCCGATGCGTCGGTTCCGTACAATGTCGTAGATATTTATATGGTGTCACTCTAGCTTGTGATAACGGATTGCAGGGCGGATTATTGGAAGTCCCAAGGACGCAAGTTCTGCGACTTCTGCAAGTGCTGGATCGCCGATAATAAACCGAGTATCGACTTCCATGAAGGCGGCAAGAAGCACAAGGAAAATGTCAGTAAGCGGCTCAAGGAGATCCACAAGAATAGCGCCAAACAGGCAAAACAGAATAAAAAATTCGAGGATGACCTCAAGAAAATGGAAAATGTATGATTATATACAGATGTTGATTAAAAGACATGAAAATACTGATGATAAGTAATCATTCTTTTTTTTGGACTAGGCGGCTATGGCTGCGTACTTGAAGGATGTTGAGAATAATACGCGAGATATGACTGCTGAGAAAATCATTAAAGAGAAACTGGATAGGATAGAAACAAAAGAAGTAAGTTATACTTACCTAAAATTAATCTCTTAATTTTCAATTATTGCTAAGAAAAATAATATTAGATGTAATACTTTTAAAGATTGCGCAAAAAGGAATAATTTTTTTTTTCTACGTTAAAATAACGAAATTTAGAAAATATATATATAATCATTCCTCTATTATACGTATTTTTAATTCAGTGTTTAGCGTGATGTAATATGTATATTTCTAGACGCCTCAAAATTGCAACCGTATACCGTCAGCTGCTCCAGAAACGATTCCAAGATTCAAAAACAATAGTGGACAGGTACATAAATTCAAACTGATCTTTTTAATTATTTAATGATCGAAATAATAATTAAAACATGATTGATGATGATGTGATTAAACAAAACAAGTATTCACTATGTTATTTATAAGATCTGGATCTTTAAAAGTCGGATTACTTGCGGCATCTTTGATTATGCATACGTATATTATTTTCTTAAAAAAACTAGAACGTGGTTGATCAATGCGAAGTGAACTTTTCAACTGAAACTTTTCCAGTTCTTGCCAAAAGTGGATCCTTGTGACCCGGCAACTTTATCAAAAGGTGCGCCGTCGTTTCCACGAGTCCAGCAGCAGCACAACGGCGAGAGCAGGACTCCGGGGAAAAGTAAATCGGGTAAGGCGAAGGGAAAGGGGAAGAAGACCCAAGAGGATGATCGTCCGACCGCACCCGTCAGAAAACTGTGGTATGAGGCTCGCAGTCCCGAAGGATACACTTACTATTGGCACATTGAAACGAACGGTGGGTGTACCTTTGTCGATTTTTTTTTATTTTTTTGCACGTCTGCCTTTTGGATATCTTTTTTCGTCAGACAGTAACTATAATATGTTAGCATTTCATTTTTCTTGCAGACGTTGTAACAGCAATTCTTATATTTGTTTCTTATTTGAAATAATATAATTTTCATATTTGTATGTTTTTTATTTATTATTTATAATTTACATAACTATATTTTTGTCTTTGGCAAAAACTATGTCTCTCAAATAGCATTTAAAATGTAAGATTTTTTAAATTTCTGTTATGTTGATGAAATTATGATCATGGGAGACGCTATTAGTGCTATTTGTGTCATTTTATCTTCATCGTCTATTAGATATGAAACAAGAATATGACAAAATAACGCGCATTTCCGAACGCAACTTAGGCTTATTCCTTTTCTACTTCTTATTAACATGAATTTGTAACATTGAATATGTAAGTTTAATAAGTTTTAATTCGTTTTTTTCTTAAGATTAAATATATTATGAATCATAAATAAATCTCATGTGAGGTACCTGTTATCGAGCATTCCATAAATATTATTTATATAGCATTCCATAATTATTAGAATCGGTTTGGGAGCCTCCGGAAGAAGGCTACATGACTTTCATGGAGCAAGAAGAAGAGGCGAAGGAAGAGGTGATCCAGAGAGAGCTTATAGAACAATTGGATAAAGAGGAAGCAGGCAAGAAAGCAGATATTCTCAAAGAGCAACGAGCCAACATTGAGAGAGAGAAGATGAAAGAGTTCAGGAAACGATCAGTTGAAAACGATGATGTCCAAGATGCTGAAGAAAGCATGGAAATAAAGAAGAAGGTGGTTGAAGAAGAACGACCTTACTGGCGAGACTACAGTGTACCTGAGAGACCGCAACCTTACGGATCCTGGCAAATCGTGGAGACAACGTAAATATTTTATACTATTCCGCTATACTATTTTGATTGCCAAAATGGATTAAGATATTTTTCACGAAAATTTGTCGCGGCAGCAAGTCTTTTAATATTAATTCTCGAGTAGACGATGCGTAAGTTTTCACGGATTATGAATGAAAACTGCTAGAAATTGAGCTATATTAATTGGCTGATGTACAATTATTTAATAGTACAATATTATTGTATGTATACATATATGCATAACTTTATTATACACAAATATATATACTATTTTATTGTATTAGAATTATTGTATTGTAGTAGAATTAAATCATTTGAAGATTAATTAATTTTCTATATATTTCTTTATATAGTCTATATAGATAAATGCAAAAACGTTTAATATTTTAGCAAGAAGGAACCAGTGGATCTTCAATTGCCAAAACAACAGAAACAAATACAGCTGCCCACATTTACAAAGATAGAGCCACCGCCATTACAGAGGACTTTTAAAGAAAAAACTGTTATACAAATTAATATAGGTAACAGTGACGATGAAGAAACAGCCACTACTTTTAAAAAAAGAAAAATCAGTAACAAGAACGTACGCAAAAGAACGACTGATGATTGATAATATTTATTGTGGAAAGTGATATAATCTTTTGTCTTTTAGTTTATGTTTAACATATTTTTTTAAATATGCATAGAAAATTAAATATTATCAAATTAATGTAGTAATTAAATTAGTAACATTTATAAGGCATTAGTTTGCATTTATATATAATTTTAGAATTTTTATTTATACATATTTTATTACAGAAGAATGTAAATGAGAAATGCATACTTTGTAATCTACTTAAGTATAAATGTATATTTGTGGATATACACATTCATATAATTTTAATTGTAAATAAAAAGTTTTATTCTATTTTACATAAAAATTTTGATCCTATCATAACTAATATTAATTAAATAAATTTTTTAATATAATTAATATTATTTATACAATAAATGCATTTTTGGCATCACTTAAAATAAGTATAATAATTGTAGAATTACGTACATATTTTTTATACAATATCTGTTTTTTTTTTTAATAACAGTTCTATTAAAACCAGTCAATCAACATTCATATACAATTTTTTTATATCTTTATTTGAATCTTATTATTGTAATATCTTCATTAACGTCAGTTCTGCTATATCTGTCGTGCTATATGTATATATATATATATATATATCTCATATATCAATATTTTTCACATGTATCAATATTTTTCATAGCTTTTGTAAAACACACTTGCAAGATAAGATATGATATTATGAGATTATGTTATATACAATGCAAACAGTTTTGATAAATTTTATGTTAATAAAAAATATAATGTCGGAAGAAACAATGAATCGATTAAAAGTAAATAACGCGAGACTCCCTTTAATTGTACGAAGCAACTTACATATTTACTCAATTATTTTTGGCAATACATGTCATATTAATAAAGTGTAATCAGTCTGACTTTGACAGGAGGTCGTTTATTCATTACTTAAAATTTGGAATACTTGCTCATGTATATTACAAAAGTTGTACAAAGAATAAGCTAAACAACTTTCATAATGAACACATATAAAATACTTGAACAAATTGATACTATTCCAAATTTTAAGTAACGAATAAATTTGGGAATACGAAATGGAATGTAAGGACTAAACAACTAAAATTATTTCGAGTAGTACACATTATTAGTAAAGGAAATAAAATTTTGAGACGCTGACAACACGTAAACTTCTGTACACAGTTATGTTACAACATTAAATTATGGAGACATTTTACAAATTTTTTCGCTAATAGTATTATTAGTTTTCAGATCCCTTGAACGTAAATAACATTTTCACACATGCGCCGCGTGAACTGAATTTGATCCAATGATATGCTTAATTTCGTTCTTATTTGTACATCGCACGCCATTAAGTTCATCCACAATATCTTCGCGTAACCGTCCTTTGGTCTCTGGTAGTAACATGAAGCAGAACAGAAAATTGCATACGCAGAAAGCAGCGAGGAGAAAGAAGCAACCATGCACGCCTAACAAATTAATGATATCTGTGAAGGTTTTCGTCATGACGAATGCAGATGCCCAACTTACAGAGATACTTATGGCCGAGGCCAGGCTGGTTATGTCACGGCTGAATATCTCAGACATCACCACGATGGGTCCGTTTCCCATTCCCAAAGCAAATAATATCATGTAGGCAGATAACGCTACCACCGGTATCCAAGAATAAGCGGACACTTCATATTGCAAATTCTGAAGATAATAAAATACACCTATCATACAATGACACACGCACATTCCCGCACAGGATAGCAGAATCAAGGGTCGTCTGCCAGCACGCTCCACTAATAATGTCGCTAACCACGATCCAAAGATCTGTATAACCGCTACTATGATAGATGACATATTCGGTGATAACGAACTACCGGACATTTTGAAAATCATTTCCGTGTTACTGATCTAGATGGAAAAATCGAAAATTCAGTCATTTTGCAAAAATAAAGTTTTAAATAAAATGAAATTGAAGTCTCGTAGAAGTTTTGTTAATATATTGGACGTACTATTTAGCTTATACAGTGATATGCAAAAGTTTCCGGCCAGTGACATTTTGTATTTTAATTTAAAAAAAGCCTGATAAAATTTTAATCATTATCGGGTATCAGTACAAGATGTGGATAATGAAATCTTATACTAACATCTGATAATAATTAAAATTTTATCGGTTTTTTTTTTATAAATTAAAATATACAAAATGTCTGGCCGGAAACTTTTGCACGCCATTTTAGAAAGAAAGCGAATTTGAAGGATTTATAAGCATTAATAGTATTGCATTAAATGCCTGAGTTTATGAGCTATCTATCACTGATAATTACCATCGCAAAAATGCCACAAAGTTGTTGACCGATGAACAGACCCATGACAATTATGAATCCTTTAATCGTTGCTTTGTCTCTAATCAAATCTGAAAACTTGGCAGATTTTACGGATGCGGTCTCCTTGATTTGCAACTGTATATGCGACAACGTACGTTCTGCTTCCAGACTGTTTCCAGCTTTCAACCACTTCAAAGCTCTGAAACAACAAATTGCAACGTATTTTCGAGCTTAAGGAGAATATTTTATTTATTTATTTTTTTTTTTTACCTAATCGCCTCGTGCGTACGATTTCGACGCACCAGGTAAAACGGTGACTCCGGTATGAAGACGAAAGTGATAAGATAGAAAAGAATTAACGCTATGATGACCACAGGCAAGGCACGGAAGGACATTATGCCACCCAGGATGTAAGCCACTAGTATCCCGCAATTCACGGAAAGTATCACGATACTTGCCAACATGCCACGGATACTGTCGCACGAAATTTCCGACACGTAGTTTGGTACGATGAAGAACGTAGCAGCACCATTGATGCCACTCAGAGCCCTCGACACATAGATATACATGTGCTCGGTAGCAAACATGATCAACATCCAGGCGATAATTATTGGCACCACTAATATGTAGCCCAATCTCTTCCGACTAAATTTGTCTGGTATCACCGACGTTAGCACAGCCGTGATAGTACCACTTAGGCACAAAGTGGCAGTCAACCAGGATATGCCGTTATCAGTCATGGGGTTTCCCACAGGCGACGAAGGACTTTGCAACAGTTGCGCTGACGGTGACGGCCATCCTATCACGATTCCGTAAGATAACGCCAACTGATTTACTGCAAATATATATCACGGAATAAATAAGACTTTCGACGACTCAGTAGAAACTAATTGTAATAGACATATTTTCCTAATGTATTCTTTATAATCTGTATTAAATGTCATTTTGTAAGTATCATTGATATAATGCCGATAAGAATAATTTAATTCTTAGAGTAATTTAATTTCTTAGAATAATCACACTTGCATCACTGTCTAAATATAAATTGCTTAAAAATATTAATCTTTTTTATTTTCATATGTTCTGTTTATAATTCTTCTTTATTTTTAAGTGCTGTTATATCCATCAATGGAGAACTACTACTAAAGGAAGTTCCTCTCCTTTGTGATTGAAGCCATCGCCTGCGTCGTATATCTCTTCTGCTCCTTGAAGAAGAGTCGAAGAAATCGTTCTTTCTTCTTTTCAACTTACTGATTATCGTGGCAAGGAACTGCCGCAACTTCCCTGACTCCTTCACTGACTCCTTCAGTGGGTTTTCGCACTTTTCCATTGCACGTTTTTTCAAATAAGAATGACTGCACTAATAATTCCGTAATTATTTGTCGGTTTCGAGCCAAGGGTCGACTAGGAATAAATTTGTAAAGTACCAATGCATTGATATACACAGAATGCTTGTTTTACACTCGACGAGCGTAATTCAATATGCTGTATACGAACTACAATTCGGTTTATAACGATTCTATTTACGAAAAAATTCTTGTCAAGAAGGGGTATTCTTATCTAAATGTCATTTATTAATGAAAACGTGTGAATAACAGGCACACATGGTATTCTGTGTACACAGCAAATATTCCACTTATCGAATCCATCGTCAGCTTAAAGAAGAATATTAAACTCTGATAGGTGTAATTGATGTAACCTAGAATCTCAACACGATAAATATTAAAGCCCCCAAAATGTCAAAGATACGTGTCTAAATAAATTTTAATAAATATCCGCTTCTTGTGCTATAACATAGAACTATTTTATTATTTTATTGTTGGAATATGATCTTAATCTTAAATAAGATTCTATATTAATTAAATTCAAATAAAACTTTATATTAGTCTGTTGGATTATGGACAGTCCGATCTGATATTTAAATTTGATCTTACATAATAAAATTTATGCAGTCTCAATAAAATAACTATAATTTCTTGAGATCGTACTTCAGGTTTAAAAAAATGTGTTTTTTTATTTAAATTTTAGATTTTTTTTTTTGGAGATTTGAAAATTTGGAGATATTGATTTGCGATGCAATATTTAAAATTAGCGGCGTTATGTTTAAAAGATATAGGTTGAAGATGACTCAAACAAAGTTGAGTTGAAACGTTCCAATTTTTTTGTATTAATTTATTATTAAAATTATTACGCATGTTTAAAACCAGTGTTGACTCCTATAGTCTTCATATTTATATTTGTTATTTTTCTATCATACAATAGAATAAAATATATGATTCTACTTTATCTATAGCATTTATTATCTATTATGCATAATTTATACGGGCTATGTGGCTAAGACAGAAATTGACATCGAATCGTCGTAATTAAAAGTTCTTTTTTTAAAAATATCAAGAGATACCATTGTTGATTCATTATATATACTTAACGGGTATCATGACGTGTGTGTGTGTGTGTGTGAAATTTTATTCTTCTACACAGAGAAATGGAATTTCGCTGGAGAAGAATACAATTCCTTTATCTTGTGTTATACATATAAATCATTGTGCAAGCGAGAATGTACCGCCATGATTTATTGCCATAGCATCTCCTCGCTGAGAAAGACTTAATTTACCGCTGCTATCCAACACTGTGATTAATTGATAAAATTATGACTAGAATTGATAAAATTACGACTAGAATTGATAAAATTACAACTTCCAGCAAGCTAATTTCGATACGGAACTGTGTGTCTATGTTTGCGTTTGTTGCGTAATAACGCGTACGACGACTTTTTAACGTCAAGCGGCGACGTAGGTGCATTTCACTAACGTTCGAACCGTCACGAACTGATCGTTTCATCCTTGTTTAATATTTCAAAACGATAAAGATGAAATGATGCTCGCAATCGTTGCGAACGTTAAGTGAAACGCGTCCTGATTGTAAGTATTCGAGGTCTCCTCGTAATCTCTTTCATTCGGGAACGTTTTTCTTAAAGATTTTTTTTTTTTTATTAAAGATTCGCCGAGACATTTTTCAATTTAGATTCTGCGCGTCGATACATCGCGTACGATACGTGTCAGAGCCAATCGTAAAGAATTGATCAGTTAGATGTTTAAAGCGAAATTGGAGAACGTAATTCCCGAGTTATTATTGCTGAACGTAATTGAAATTACGTTCAACGAAAATATGTTTAAATTCCGTTCTTCAATTTCGTTTTAAACATCTAATTGACCATTATAATTTTATCATATGTGTAAAATCGTTCTAGAGGTGAGCTTATCTCCAAGAAATCGCTTAGAAAGTGCACTAACCGACGTAATCGACGTTCTAGTAGCTGAAAATTTAATTCGATTTCTCACATTATTCTACGGAAAAACATCTATATACACTTTATTTTTTATGTGGTCATTGAATAGTTATAAATAATTTTTTATTTAAAAAATCTAAACTTGGAATAAAAATTCCGAAAAAATTCTATAAGATTGAATTGTTTTAAGCATTAAAAGATCCAGTTTAGACCGTTATAAGACTTTAATTTCTAGTCTTGATTGTGTTCTCGCATATACAGTCTAAAATAAAGTTTCTTAATATGGTCTGCAAGATTAATTGGATCAAAATGGACATTTTTTTGTCTCTGAGTCGTTTTTGTTTAAATCAATAGTTTTTGAGATAAAAAAAATGTCTAAACTTGAAAAATGACAACTTTTATAACTTTTTTGTCTCAGAAACAAATCATTCAATCAGTATGAATAAAAACGAAAATATTCGGCCAATCTTAAACTATAACAAGAATTTTATTTTGATCCGTATTGTCATTGACAGTGAAAACTTTATTATAATGAAGGGGCGTTCGCAGCGCCTTATATATAATATTATATAAGTGCCTTATATAATAATCAATAAAGTTTTCACTGTCAATAACAATACAGATCAAAATAAAATAAAATTCTTGTTGTAGTTTAAGATTGGCCGAATATTTTCGTTTTTTATATTCATACTGATTGGATGACTAGTTTTTGAGAAAAAAAATCATAAAAGTAGTCATTTTTCAAGTTTAGAAATTTTTTAAAAACTATTTATTTAAAAACTATTGATTTAAACAAAAAAGTCTTAGAGACAAAAAATATCCATTTTGATCCAATTAAACTTACAGAATTTTTCCAGAATTTTTATCCAAAGTTTAGATTCTTTAAACAAGAAATTGTTTATAACTATTTAACAGCCGGAGGCGTTACGACCGCTTTTGGCGCCCTACGCTGGAATTTGCTTTTGCACCCCATCACAAGAATTGTTAAGTCTCTGAAGCACCAATCTCCCGGCAACGAACTAACAACTAAAAAAACAAAAGCAATTTCCATCAATTTGCATAACACAGAAATATGAATACAATAAATTTCATATTTTCTTTTGTAATAATATATTTGACGCTTAATGCAACATACTATTATATTTTCTGGCTTTAGTAGTTTTTGAAAAATTCTGATTACGTCTTAAATTGTTATATAATCAAGACTGATTACGTAATCAAAACTGTTCGTCAATTTTTTTTTAATTGAAATCATAGCTAAATCGCACGACCGCGTTTGCGTCATTGTATTTCCCAGAAAATTCTTTATTATTTTTAATTTTTAAAAAGATACCTCTGCAGTTATCACAGACATTGGCACAGTTAATAAGATCTGTAACGCTATTGCTACATTTGAAGATTTCCAGAAAACTACTTTTAGCTAATTCATTTAAAATATCAAGTAAGGTAGAGCTTTATATTTATAAGAGTAGCGCTGTCTATTAAAATTTTGCGCCCTACGCTGGAGCATATCTGCTTAGTGCCTTGTAACGTCTCTGTCAACAACCACAATGATAAAAAAATGAAGTGTATATAGATGTTTTTCTGTAAAATAATATGAAGAATCGAATTAAATCATTTTCAGCCATTAGAACGTTGATTGATCGATTAATAATCTGAAAACGGGGGTAAATCGCTCGCCTCTATAAAGGTGGTATCTCGAGAGGTAGTACTGTATTTACCTTATTAATCAGATAAAATCTTGACGTCACTTAAAATCAGACTTGGGGGCGAGATCTTAAATATAAAATTTTATATCATTTTTTTTTATAATATAAAACTTTAACATTATCTATCGGATCATGAGAGAGAATTGATTTTATATTAAAAATCTCCTTACAATAAATTTTATCCTGCCCTTTTACACTACTTACAATTAGATAACATGCATGTCGAAAAGACATACAGGAGACATCGTAAAGATTTTAGACATACATGTTGTAGTGCATATAGCTGCTATACATAAATAAAATTAGCAAAATAAAATGTATACGGAGAAAAATGTTGAGTTAAATTAACTGGAATTCTGATGGAAAATAAACAATCCAGATTTTTTGTTACATTTACCAAATTTCTGGCTAAATCTACTAAAATTCTAGTTGAGATAACTAACTATGGGCTATGTTAGATTCCCATCTGAGTGCCATCCAGATATCACTTCGTACTGAACGTTAAACAAGAATGATATGACATCCAGGGAACATCAATAAGAATTCGAATACGCTCCAAAATTTTATTGGTTGAATCTACTAGAATTCTAGTAGATTGATTTAACCAGAAATCTAGTAGACTTAACCAGAATTCTGGATCGTTTAATTTCCATCAGAATTTCAATTAATTTAACTAAACATTTTTTTCGTGTAAAAAGAATATAAATATTTTAAATGATTCAATACTCAATAATGATATTGTCATCTAGTTTAAGAATATATTTACTATATTTATTATATTCTATAAAAAATATTTATAGAATATTTACAGAACATATATTTAGTCTAAATTAATTATATTATGCCTTACTGCATTCAAACACTTTACAAAGTAATTTTTATATATATAATATATACTAATTCAGTGTAATGCGAGCGATTAAATTTACATTAAATAGTATCAAGATTTTATTCAGCCAAATGAATTAATTAATGAAATGAAATAATTATATATATACATATATATATATTATCTTAAGATTGTATTTACATTAATTCTTAACCCTTATACACATGTCTGGATTATTCGTGTCCTGCCTATTTCTTTTTTTTTAAATACTAAGAGCACCTGCGGTCAAATACCGGTCTCTTTTCTATTCCTAAAAAAAGTTTGGCATTTAGAGAACAAGTTTTGTGCGTTATCGACCTCAATTCGTGCGTATCCTTTAACTGGCATAACTCCGAAGTTCACTTCTGGGTTACAAATGACCCAAGGTGTGTACAGAGTATATATTTTTTCTGTAACTAAAAAATTTTTATTTTTTTCTTTATTTTTAACTAATTCTCGATTATATTGCGAGAAAATTTCACGAATTATTAAAAAAAGAATTTAACTCTAAAACAATATATTAGCCCTTAATAAATGCGATTTTTGGTATCTTTGTTCTAAATGTCAATGTAATATTAAATATTATGTTGCCTGTAATGTTATAAAGAACATTTTCCTAATAAATTATAAGTTTTTTTATAACACGATAGCAATAATACAATCCATTGTTTTAAAATGTAAATGCAATATATCTTTAATTTATAGCCATTCGATCACGCATATTAAAAAAAAACATCATTTTCAGGTTACTCAATAACTAAACTTTTTGGGCAGCCGACACTTGAACTATTTTTTTTTCTTGTAGTTTATTGGAATATCAATTTTAAGATACTGAACCATACTTTTCCTTTAAACATTTTTATTTCAGAGTTTTATATATAATATTTATATGAAACAGTGCATTTTTCTGATTTTGTTAACTATATTTAGTTACAATTTATCTACAATTTGTCATGAATATAAAACTGCACAAATACTTTCTAAAAATTTCAAAATATATATATTAAAAATTGTTTAATTTATTTATATATACTTGTAAAAATGATGAAAATTAAGCCAAGACACGAATGAGGGAACGTGTGTATTATGGGTGCCAAAAACTAATGTGTATTAATATTGTATTGACGATTCCTGAGTCTCCTCCTCCCTTCATCCGTCGATTGCTTCCCCGCGAATTTTAAGACCTGATTAAGAAAGCTGACATCAATAACTTATGTCTCACGTTGATATATTTACAGTTACAAAAATCTTCATTTCGGAGTTTCAACGCGTTCGCAACGTTTCTGGAACGATTCGCAAATTTAAATCCGCGCTCCAATCTCGCGGGTGAGAGACAAATCGATAGCCACTGCATCAGCTGTTTAACTCTCTCCTTTCCCTCCTGCTTCCCTCACCGACGATTCTCCCTTAAGGTCGCCACTTGTGTCATCACGGCCATATTAGGCACGAGTGGAGGAATGAGGACGTTTCGCGATAAATGAGGCTGCCCTGAAATTTTCAAGGTACGTTTTTTTTATCCGCCGCTTTTTTCGAACATCTTTCGTTGATCGTTTATTGTCGCCAGAAGTTAAGCGACCTGAATAAAATCGATCGTCGGCAAACGTCGTCATGCGTCGTCTCTGTTGTCATTTATGATCATCTATGTATTATTTTATGATGTAAGGCAGATTTACTCAGCTGCGTTACGAGGTTCTTCCCGGTGGATTGCAAGGGACAGCCTGCGAAGCATGGCATGGCATTGCAATGGCACTACGAACCAAGAGATGGTGACGAAGTTGAAAGGTAAATGACCTCTGCGACCGTCGCAGGATCGATGCGTAGGAAGGACGGACTTAATTATCGCAATTAATAGCACAGAAGTCTACTATTCGTTAGAGTTACAATTGTTCGCTTTGTACGGCAATTAGGGACAGATTATTCGCAGATGCTGGTATACTGGCAACGGACAGAGCAGAAGCCGCTATGCTCGCTGTTGACAGAGCCAAATACTGCCACGAACCAGATCCTTACCTCGATCGTCCCAGAAGAATTGGTTACAACGTGACCATCAGTGCACCGCATATGGTAAATGCACATTTTACCTGTTTTATGTCTTATGAAGCTGATATTTGAATAAGTTTGTATGAGTCATTTTGCTTATACATATGATATAAATAGAAAAAATATATAGCTGTGAAATTAAACATCTCAGTAAACGCTAACTAAAAATAACATAATATGAATATTATAATTTGTTTACACAATTCAATGGCTCATCATAGCATTTACTTGTTGACACAAAGTATGATACAAATACAAGAAACATATTTCACAATCGTCTACAGATTCTAGTAAATGAAGTAAGGTAACATCATTGTTATAACTTCACACTCAGCAATATAAATTTAATAAAACATATGTTGTACATAACAGTTTCATTGTTTAAAAATTATAACATTAATGTTATATTGCTTTTAGTTGGCATTTATTGGAATGTTTATGAAAATGTATAAATAATAATGTAAACGGCATAAACTATTAATATAATTCTTATGTAGTTTCAAACTAAACTTAAAACTGCAATTTGTTGTGATGCTGCTTGGCGTCGATTCCTTTCAAATTTATTACATAAAGTTAATTATACACTTAAATATTATAAATGAGTATCTATATAGAAAGATGTTAATAGGATTTTTTTATTTACCATTGACCAGGAATATGATATGAAATGGGGTTATCAGAGTATAACTCCATTTTATTTTATTTTTATGTTATTTTGTGTTAAACATATATTTGACGACTGCAGACTTTTCAAACAAAGATATTACCGTATCGTACAGAAAATTATCACCAAAGATGATATACATTTCTTAAGATTTAATCTATTTGGTAATGGTTTGATAAACTATGTCCATATTTCTTGCAGCACGCGTACGCATTGTCTATCCTCTCTGATCAACTCTTCGACGGCGCCAAGGCACTTGACGTCGGCTCAGGCTCGGGTTATCTGTCCACTTGCATGGCATTCATGGTAGGCTCAGGCGGACGCGTAATAGGCATCGAGCATATTCCCGAACTCATAGAGATCTCCACTAGGAACGTTCGCGAGGACAATCCGCACTTCCTCAAAGAGGACCGCATCAAATTTGTGGGTAAGCTGTCGATACTCCGTTAACGTTACAGTTCCTTCTGTTATTGTCCCTAGTAGTCCTTTCACTCAGACAGTCGAAGCTCCTTCTCTCGTCAATGTTATGCCTTTCCTTTACGTCTGATTATCTGAATTTTCGTGCAAAACTCATTGCACGATGAGAGAAAACGTTCAAGAAGTATTACATGTATGCATAGTCCGAATAAAAGAAACCCGTGATCTATCCACGTGGAGTAGGTATGTACGTTGCCGTGAAGAGTCGAACGGAACACTGTCCACCAACTGTGTGGCTTTGCTGTAAAGGTAAAAGATAAAGACTGCCGACTAACGACAGGTCATTATGAATGCGCCTAGTGGGAGACGGCAGATTGGGACATCCTGCTGACGGCCCTTACAACGCTATACACGTTGGAGCAGCGGCCGAAACTTTACCGGAGACGGTGAGCATGAGCGATGAACCGTTAGTATACTGTCTAAGAAAAAAAAGAATAGATACAAGTTATGTTCCATTATTCACTACGAGTATTGTTCACGGGAACGTTAGTCTAAGTTCCTTACTTTAAAAGGCTGAAAATTATAAAATTGTAATCAATTGATCAATCACAGTCGAATATTAAAAAAATAATCAATTATGATTGATCAATTTCTTACGGCTTGTGGCCTCTTAAAGCAAGTTTGTGGCCTAGATTTAAGCGGCGTGTACAGTGAGATTTTAAAGTGATTTAAATGCTTATTCTACAATAGCCGTAAACATAGTTATAAGTGATTGTGATTGAATTGATTATTTACAGTCAAATATTCTTTTCATATTTGACTTGATACCTGGCATTTGACTTTTTATAAATTAAAGTTTTTAAAAAAAATGATAATATTTCGTTTGTAGTTCCATATAATATATAATTTTTAAAAAATGACTCGTCCGACTTTAAAGTAAAAAGATTGTTAATATATTTTGATTCAGAATCGTGGTTGTAATTCTTTGTAGTGATTTTCTGATCGTTTGTAATAGAGCTGTTTAAAAATTACAAGAAATTTACGATAAACAAGTTACGTAACTTAACCAATTTTTAAGATATCTCAAATCCATTTGACATCTTCCTTAGAATCGTTTGTAATTGTTTATAGTGATTTTCTGGTTTTCAATTATTCCTGGACTCCCCGAATCTTATTGGTAGTCACGAAAATTTACTCAGGATCGGCAGTCTTTAATAGTATCTCGTCGGTGCCAATATTAATTCAGATACCTGGTTTTGGTCACATTTTCTAAAAGCCTAGTTCGGTCTCTATCTTCATGTATATAATGCATAAAGCAAAAAAAATTAACCGAAGTTTTTTATTTCATGGAAAGAAAAGGAATGAAGGACTTTGATTCATTTTTTATGCATTGTATGCTCCTATCCTTATGCATTAAAAATTGTATTGTAAACGTCGTACATTATAGGTTTTCAGTACTCGCAATAAATAACGGAACATAGCTGTAGAATGTAATATGTATAAACGATGTAATTTTTGTAGCTGATTGATCAACTGGCTCCTGGAGGTCGACTAATCTGCCCAGTCGTGGCCATAAAAGGTTTCCAAAGGTTACAAGACCTGCTACAGGTGGACAAGAGCACAGACGGCGCGATCACAAAGAAGAAGCTGATGCAAGTTTCTTACGTTCCTCTCACGGATCCCACCACTCAATTACGTAATTAGAGTTACTAAGGTGAGGTGTCACGACGGAAAGAAACGCAAAATTTCCGAGGAAACGATCGCGTATCAGATTAGTAATAATCAAAATTTTTGTATCTACAAATTTTTTTCACGCATGCGTAGATGTGGAGTGCACGCCGTCTTCAATTGGGGATATCAATAAACTATATATATTTTGTACCTACCTTGGTTAATTCCTTCGCATTTCTTCCACTAATTAACATATTGCAGTCGCAACTACGATTGTTTTCCTCTTAGGAGACACTAATGTCGTTTTATCTTTCTTAACATTCAATAAATAACAAAGATTGAATATGTCGACTGTGTTATCTAAAAGGAAAGCAGCTCATATATAGGGCATTCCATGCCAAGCTAGCCACTCACTTTGCGAAATTTAATGGATTTCGTTCATATTGCTTGAACAGTTTGATGAATAAAGACTCTACGCCAAATAATATACCCATACATAAAATTGACGAGCCAGTTCGGCAATCAGTTAACATACGAATCTATTATTCGGCATAGAGTCTTTATTCATCAAACTGTTCAAGCTCAAGCAATATGAACGAAATCCATGAAATTTCGCAAAATAAATGCTAGCTTGACATGGGATGCTCCATATGTTGCTTCTATATACAATAAAATGCTTTTGTGTTATCATAGTCTGTTATGTAATACTGATTTTGTTGTAATAATACTGATATTATTGTTCCATAAATATCTTAATTCATTTACTGAAAACTTCCATTAGGACATGAGAAAAAATTATAAGGCATGAATAATTGAAAATATGAATAAATAATTGAATTAATTATAGAAAAATAAATATTTAAGCAAATAAGATATATTTTATATCTTTATATAATATATACTTCTAATCGTATGTATTATTATAAGTTCGTAAGTTTGTTTCTGTGTTAGAAAATTGCACTCGTTTATATGGACAAATATCTCTCTTTCTCTTCTCTCTCGATTATATTTTGTAGGAAAAATAAATCTTTCTACTTAAATAAAAGAGAAACGCCGTATTAAGACAGTATTAGACAGTATTAGACAGAGATATTAATATATTTCTCTCTCTGTTATCGATTTTGTTAAAACTACTACCCTTCATACAAAAGTATAATTACAAAAGTCGACTCAAATTGTCTTGTGTCGCGATTCTGATTAGAGGGTCTCTACTTAAATTAAACTGTTAGCTTAATGGCCATTCTACAATAAGCCATTAGTCATATTTATGACTAATGTCTGTAAAATTATAGAATGCGTGTAATGGCCGCAGCATAGACTCTCGCATAACGCATAATGTATAGTACATAAGAGAATCAACCAATCGAAATTTTTCTTTTCCATGGAATGGGAGGAAAGGAAAGATTCTGATTAGTTGATTCGTTTATGCAAAAGTCTGTGCTGTGGCTTTGAAATATCGACACTTTGCATAGCCGCATAAACATATACGTAAAAAAAGTTAACATTGACTAATCACAGTCATCAATTTCCAACTTCTAACTTCTGATTTATGACTAATGGCTTATTGTAGAATGGCCATAAGCGGGGAGCACAAACTCTTACATAATGCAAACACGTAATGCATAAGAAAATGTACTGACCATTCTACAATAAGCCATTAGTTATTAATCAGACGTTAAAAGTTGAAAATTAATGACTATGATTGGTTATTTTCCAACTTCTAAGTTCTGATTTATGATTAATGGTTTATTATAGAATGCGTGTACCAATCAAAGTCCTTCGTTTTTTTCCATTCCATAAAATAAAGAATTCTGATTGGTTGGATTTCTTATGTCTTATGTGTTGTGCATTATGTAAGAGTCTGTGCTCCTTGCTTTAGGGTATATTTACACAACTTGCATGGACGCATAAACGTATGCATAAAGAAAATTATCCAATGATGTAATATGTTGAAAATCTTTAAATAAATTTATTTATTGCGAAAAATATTATCTCAGCCGGGATCTTTAACATTCCGTGCGAGCGTTCTAAGCCTTATAGATTACCGAGGTCTTATTATAGTAATATTCTTCGCAATAATCAGTATATGGAAACAATGTCTTTCTTTTAGATAACGTAATAAAAGATTTCATGGTTTTACAAGTATTTCTAACGGCATTCATAGTCATCAAGGACAATTTAACCGGAAAAAAGTTTGAGGTTCTGTATCTCTAAATTCTTATTTTGAAATGAGACTTGAACTGTTATCTACCTGAAGTTCAAAGTATTCTCTTTGCGCCTAAACGTCAGGTATTTTACGCCAAATTCAATTAAAGGTAACGGAGTTGTGTTCCGTAAACGTGTTTTTCACAAAAAAAAACAAAAGAAATTAAGTTAATACTCTTATAAAAATTCTATTAATTTTTTTACTATTTGACATCTCTCCCCACTCTCCTGTCTGTAATTTTCCACAATTTAGGTAAGATAAACGATGAAGCAGATGTTTGTAATAAATTTAATCGCGGATTTTTGTAAATTATATATAATATTTTACATATAATGTTATACACAATATCTACTTTTACTGAAATATTACAGGTAGTATCTATGGGTCATATCTAATTTTATAGACGTTTCCTAAACATAATGTTCTATAAGCATTGAGGAAATGTATTGCAAAACTAACATGTGCTACTGAGGAACCTAAAAAATAAATTTATATTATTATGTTAACATTGTTATTATATTATTATATAACATTATTATTATATTATATTATTATAACATTATTTTTTTAACTTAATGAATTGCTTTAAATAAATTTAAATAAATTATCTGGATCACGCGTACATTTGTTGTTAACTGATCCAAATTATTCTCTGTTCTCTATTTCTTATCCTTTTATCGCAGTATATACAGTAACGCAACTCTTTGTCAGCAGCTTTGATGTTAGTGTTGGCGAAAATGGAGTGCGCATGCGTGAAATAAGTAAGTTGCCCCGTCTCTTTTCCTCCCTTTTTTATTGTTCTCTCTCTTTTTCTCTCTATTTAAATAAGCGTTTCAATGTTCCACTTAAACATTTGTTTTTCAAGCATACATGGTTCAGAATAGAAAATCAGGAGAGTTGCGCTACTATATATACTGTGCTTTTATTGTGCGGAGCTCTTACACCTATTTTTATTATGGTGGTATTAGTGGAGTCTTCCATGTGCTCCGGTTCAAGTGTTCACTCTGCGTCTGGCTAAAAGTACACTAATGTAAACCTGTTTTGTCGGAAGAAAAAGAGCTTTTAGAGCTAATGTTATAAAGAAAAGTGAGGTTTTGTTATTTTAATTGCATCCGAATACTGCTATATAAAAAGACTAGATTGATAATTAAATCAGAAAGTATGTCCATGCTTGCGGAGCGCCGGCAAAAGCAAAAATGGAGCCTCAATCCACGGGGAAAGTGGTGGACCGAAGGTAAATATGTGTGTGTTTAACTATAGCATCTCAAAAGTCAATAAAATTAGGCTTATTCGACACATTTTTACATGAAATGAAAGAAATCTGGCGGAAAAAAGTGACGCTCTATTCCATGAACTAAGATATTAAGTATTAAAGTTGACAACGATTGAGGTTAGGAAACCTGTCAGCTGCGAAATAAGGTCTATAATCGTACTGTTGCATATGGATTTTGACTTTCCACGCGAAGCGACTCTTATGCCCGATTCTCACCTCTCCTCTCCTCCTGCAAAGGACCGCACAACTTTCATAATTGTACTGTTGTATATGGATTTCGGTTTTAGGATGTATAGACAGTAGCTTATTAGACTATGCCGCCCCGAACAAAAAAGAAATAATATCCTATCCGCTTGGGACCTAATTGCCTAGAAGTTGCATAAACAGTAAAAAGACTGCTCTAAAAAGACTATTCTCACATCCCCACTGTCTTTATGGATTAGAAATATTCCAAGCGGACACTGTTTAGACTGCAACTTCTGGGCGATTCCTAAAAGGAAATTCAGGCCACAAGTGAGTAGGATGTTATTTGTTTTTCATTCGGGATGGCATAGTCCCAAAACAATAAGCACTATACTAAACAATAAGTCTATACTCCACTGTCTACATGACAGGTTAATGATTGTGTTACATAGTAATTCACTTTAGTCAACGTCAATGCTCAATATCTCGCTTTGCAAAACAGTCCCAGACTTTTTTCTGCCAGAGTCTTTCATTTTACGCAAAAACGCGAATAAGCCAAATCGAAATCAGAAGTGAGAAAGCTTTTCTGAATTACCCTTATTTTGTTTGACAGATTTCCTAACTTCAATAGTTATCAACTTTAACGCTTAATATCTCAGTTTGCGGGGCAGAGCAACACTTTTTTTCTGCCAGATTCTTTCATTTCATGCAAAAACGCATCGAATAAGCCTAATTTTATTGATTCTTGAAGTGCGGGGATTAAACTGAATAATAACCTTTTTTTTTTACAGTAGAGAATTCGTTTTTAAAGCAGAGAATTTGTGTAGATATTAATTGAAACAGAAAATACTTGTTTTAGCCTCACATGTTCTCATGTTCCTTTATGCCATCGATGTGACAGATTTTTTTAATCAGAATAGTCGTCAACTTTGAGTGTGTTTGGCGAACTCTGTTAGCACTGTTTATTCTATCGTCATTCATTAAACGTAAAATAAGGATAGAATGACACAATAGTGCTAATGTGTGGCTTTTCAACAAGCAACAGTGTGACATAGTGATCATATCATCTTTCTTTAACATTGGCAAATAACAAGGATGTAATGGTCCATTATGTCATATCGTGTCATTTGTATCGCTTGTTGGAAGGTACACAATAGCATCTCCTTGAACGCACTCTTTAACAATTAATAAGTCTTGCATTGCTTGAAATTTCCAAAACTTTTTGTACTTAAAAGGAGATAAATATATATTCGAATGTTGGAACAAAAGAAAGCAAAGATGCAAAAAGTACAAGCAAAATGAACAGATCTAAAACCTTGCCACAGAGCAGAGCGACACTTTTTTTACCAGATTCATTTCATACAAAAACGAAGCGTCGAATAAGCCCAATTTTATTGATTTTTAACATGCTGTAGCTAAACTGTATAATTACCATATATTTGAAGGTATATAAAAGCTATGGTTATGAAGACTTTATTTCTTTGATGACTTATAAATTATTACATATCTAAATATTGGATCCATTATACACAAATTTGTAACTTTGATTCATATTTTTTGTATTAATATGTCGACAACTTTATTAATAGATTCTAACAAATTTGGCCAGAGAATGTTGGAGAAGATGGGTTGGACAAAAGGAAAAGGACTTGGCATTAATGAACAAGGCATTACAGAATTTTCCAGTACATCGTACAGGAATGATACAACTGGTAACTAAAACATTCATAATTTTCACATAGAAGCTAATTATTTCATAAGTGTTACACTGTTAAAAAAAATGGAAATAAATTTCAAGCAGGTACATAAAAATATTTAATGCTGT